TATATATATATATATATATATATATATATATATATCACCCAATTATAGAAAAATTAAAATTAAGTTTAAGAAAAACAAACCCAACATAACGAATTCTAAACTTCCTTTGATATCCCATTGCCTAATTTAGAAATTGAGACCAAGATAATTATTTTTTTAAAATTATTACCTAATAAAAAAAATAAATTTGAATTGATAAAAGAAAACTCTTTGATTTTTAACAAGGATCAACGTCATTACGTCAACATATAAAATTAGAGTTTCAAATTTTTCTCTAAAATATGGAAAGTACGTGTTCTTAATTTTTTTTTTTTTAAACAATGCAAAAATTGTTAGAAAAAATTACTTAGAAATTGAACAAAGTATTCTAATTGTTATTTTTTTTTACGATAATTAAAAATAATACAAAATTTAAGTTTATATATATATATATTATGATTAAACTTTTTTAAAAAATTGATTCGTTATTAAGGAGTATTATTTATCACATATAAGAATTAATTTCCTTCAAAAATTTAAAAAATATCAGATATATAAATGAACATCTCTTATGAATTTATATTTTATACATTGAAATTAGTGGAAAGACACCTTCAATAATTTTTATAGAATATAAATTCAATTTATCTAAGTGTTATATATGGTGATATTAAATACTAATTAAATCAAGTATACAAAATTATATATAATTATAACTTTATTTAGTAGTTCATCAATCAATTTATTGTAATGTATTAAATATATTCAAAATACATATAAATATCTATTATTACATAACATATCCTGAGAAATTCAAATCATTTGAAATTTGATATGCATGATTATGAATATAATATTATCAACTACAAGTCTACAATAGTCGAATCAGTTGAATTTACATTCTATAAAAATTTATTAAGAGTATCATTTTACTAATTTGACAACATAGTTACAAAGGAACCTTTCTTTCTCTCTCTCTCTCTATCTATATCTATATCTATATCTATATCTATATCTATATATATATCACAAATTTTTCCCTCATATAAATAATAATTTAAAACATTTTGTGGTGATTTTTTATTTAAATTCTCGTAATTAAGCTAATTTTGTGACAAATTTTTCTTCGAATTAACCGTTTCAAAGTTTTACAAGGGACAAAAATTCATGATACTTGGTAAATGGAGAACACAATTTTCGGAAAAGAATTCTTTAAGAACAAAATTTAAGAAATTGTCAAATTTCGTAGATAAAATGTAGTCTAAAAATTATATTTTATTTTAATAATATATATTTATTTTTATATAAAATATTTAGAATTATATTTTTAAAACAATTAAAATATATAATAAAAAATAAATTTACATGAACTAACTTTTTAACACACTTAATATTACAAATGTCAATGTAAATGGTAAGTTCGCGTGCCATTAATAATCTTAAGTAATTTATAATAAAAATGTTGTGTATATTAATATTACTTTTTTTATAAAAAAAAAACTTATTAGTTATGTTAAAAAAAATATTAAACTAAAATAAATTTTGTTACTAACTGTATTATCTTTTAAAAAATAATAGTAGTCAATAATTATAAAAAGGATTTTAGTTTCAAATTTTTAATTGAAAAATATGAGAAAAATAATGTTAATCATATTAGTACTAAATTAACTATATTTAATGGTAGTTTATAAAAAAATAGAGTTAATGATTAAAAACTAAAATATACAAAAAAAAATGTTAAAAATTTAAAGTTTATAATTTTTTCACAATAACTAAAAATAATAATAAAGTCATATTTATATGAACGTAAAACATATTTAAGTTAATATTTTTTATGTTAAGATTTTTTAAAGATAACTTTATTTATTTACTTTTTATATGAAAATATATAATCTCGATTTTTTTATTTTTAAAACGTTACTCTTTCTATAAATTTAAACCACTTATATATATTTTTTACAATTTTAAATATTTTACTTTTTATTTTCTAATTTTTCTTAAATTAAAAAGTATCCGTACATGTACATTGTAATCACTCACTAACTCTTTAATATATATGCAGATACGATGTTGCATTGGGTATAAATACATTGGGAGTTAAGTACGTTTTGAACTTCGCCAAAAGTTGTATTAAACTACCCACGTATCAGCCGGTTAGTATTAAAATTGACTTCATAGTTCTATTATTCCACATGTATTCTCGCATCGAAAGTCACTTTTCAGTATTCAAATTAATATACGATAATATATAAGTGAGGTTGGCTGTCAGATATATATTAAAAAAATCAAAGTCTCACGTTAACTAAAGATTAAGCTATTAAATAGTGTCCTATCTGTCGAAACTGACATCACGACGATAATATATAAGTAAAAAATAACCTTCATCTTACAAGTTAGTTTTGTAAGATTTCTACTTATATACTAAGTAATTGCTTAATCTCTAGTTGATGTAGGACTTGAATTTTTTCTAATACATCCCCTCATATTTAGCACTATTGGGCTTTATACCTAGATAAATGATAGGTGACCCTTCCAAATGATCTAAGATTGGCGGGACTTGAGTTTTTTTTCTCAATACACTCCTTCATACTCATAGTACATGTATCAATGGTGGCAACGGGGCGGGGGTGGGGGTGGGGGTGGGTTTTACGTTCCACGCCCCCGATACCTGCTGGGAATAAAATTTGGGTACCCATCCCCGCCCCCAGCAAGGTTTGGGTTTCCCCACCATGCCCTATCCCTGCCCTCGCTTTTATTTTTTTTTCTTTTTTTTTTTAAATAAATATGAACAAATTTTTAAAAAAATAATATAAAAGTAAAATAATATAAATGTTTACATATAAATATTTTTAATTTTGATTTATATATATATATATAAATAATTTTTTAATTATATTATTAAGCGGGGCGGGAGCGGGTATTAAATTCTCGTCCCCGACCCCGATTTTATCAATTGGGAAAAATTCGAACCCGATAAACACGGGTTTACAAAATTCACATTTAATATAAAATTATTAAATTGTGTAATACTTAGTAAAAGTTACACCGATATATATATATATATATATATATTTATATTTATAAGTAGATCGATCGGTGTTTATATATTATTATATTATTATGTAAAATTATTCACATATAGTGAGTTGTGTGTCAATTCAATTCAATACAATATGAATGAACATATATGGTTTCAGCATATGTATGTGGCGACGGAGGACTTATATTAGAGGATCCATGCCAAATGGGTGTGTCACTAAATGGAGTATCAGGACTAGACATTGACATGGAAAAGAAAATAGTGGAGAACAAATTGTACGAACTTCGACAAGAGGGAGCCACAGAGAATGATGTTAAAATGGCCATGAAGGACTTGGGTATCGAAAGGTTAAAATTGTAATTTGAGGTCACTTTTCATTTGCAATATCGTTTGAGTTCACTTCCACTGTTCCGCATACAATATTTTCGGTATACACCATTTATAATTACTTTCTGAAGTTTTTTGATTTCTTAAAATCCCTATTAAATTTAGCATTTACCTCTTTAAATTTTGAAAGTGGATTGTATACTCACATCAAATTTGTGTTGGGTTGTATGTTAATAAATTCAGATTTCAGAGCAATTGAATATGGATGGCCAAACACGTATGTCTTTACAAAGGCAATGGGAGAAATGTTTGTAGAAACTCTAAAGGAAAACATGTCTGTTGTTATTGTACGTCCTACAGTTGTTACCGGCACTTATAGAGAACCTTTTCCTGGGTGGGTCGAAGGAGTCAGGTAAATTACCAAATTTATTTCATCACTTTGTTCATGTACGTGCATGCATTGCGTTATGTAGTGTAACAAAGCATGCGTTTGTAATTATCTGTTAGTTTATATGTCCCCTTTGATTAAGTTTCTTCCCTATACAAAGCACATAATTCGCATTCTTCTTATCTTGGAGCTTTTGCAGAACCGTAGATAGTTTCTTTATGGCTTACAGCAAAGGAAAATTAGCATGCTACCCCGCAAACAATAATGCCATTGTTGACACGGTTAGTCTTTAAATATTGAAGCATTTGAGATCTTTTAAATTAGCAAAAACAAAAGAGCTAATAAATAATTTATTAACAGTTAAGTTGACCATTTTCTAACCTAACTTTATTTTACAAAATACACATAAATTCCTGACTCGTCAAAATGGATATACTGATATAAGCTGAGTTTGGAGCAGATACCAGCAGACATGGTGGTGAATGCAATAATAACGTCCATGGTGGCTCATGCAATAATTAAAGGTTTTTTTGTGTTATCCTCAATTTCTACTTCAGATTTTCTGTTAGAAAAAATAAATTTAATAGAGCACAATAAAAATAAATATTTAGATTTATCAATAAAAACCAATATCAACAACACAATGAATATTATAAAATTAAAACAGAACAATCAATAACAACTAATTAAACACAAAGAACAAATTAGAATGTTAAATAAAAGGTTTAGAGTAGCCTGAGTTGAAGCACGCAGAGCGCTATCCTTAGAGAGAAAACGCCCCCACTGCACTGGTAATTTTGAGCCTTATAGTGCGCTCCTCTCCCAAGATACGTCAACCCGTTAGACCGTTCGAATGCAGCGAAAGATCCCCGAACCAAAGAACACCGCTCCAAAATTATAATTTTGTAGTAGAGGAAATATTGAGGGAGAGAAAATATAAACTTGCTGTAGGTGTATTTTCCTTCGTATTAATAAGTTTATATATGCACAATTAGATGCCTTTTCCAAAAGTTGAATACGTGCATTTGCAACCTTTTTGGTACGTGGTAACAGTAAACAAAAAACGTGAAAATGTACTAACCCCTTTTAAAAGAAAAACAAGACGTGTTCAAAAAGAAAAAAAAAAAACATACATATCCGTCTTTTGTTTTGGAACGTTAAAATAATCCTAGGACCAAAATCTTTAGCTTTTCTAATTCTTTTACTAATCCTAGGTTCAAAATCCTTGTTAACAATACTACTAGAAGATAAAACTGAGCTAGAAGTATTATAAACAGGTTTAGACAATTTATTCTTTAAAGGAAAAATATTTTCAAAGAAAACAACATCTCTAGATTCCATAATTATATTATTAGAAATTTCAGAAACTTCAGAATTAATAACTAAAAATCTATAAGTAGTACTATGTAAAGAGTATCCTAGAAAAACACAATCAACCGTCTTAGGACCAATTTTTCTTTTCTTATTAATAGGAATATTCACCTTTGCAAGACACCACCACACTTTGAGATATTTCAAATTTGGTTTTCTATTTTTCCAAAGTTCATAAGGGGTTTTATCGGAATTTTTATAAGGAATTCTATTCAAAATGTGACATGCAGTAAACAAAGCTTCCCCCCACAAATTATCAGGCAAACCAGAACTTATAAGCATAGCGTTTATCATGTCTAATAAAGTACGATTTTTTCTTTCAGCAATTCCATTAGATTGAGGAGCATAGGGAGGAGTGACTTCATGAATTATGCCATGTGTTTCAAAAAATTCACCCATTTCATTAGAAGAATATTCCCCTCCTCTATCAGAACGAAGAATTTTAATACTCCTTTCTAATTGATTTTCAACTTCTGCTTTATAAACCTTGAATTTTTCAAATAACTCACTTTTATGAATAATCAAGTATACATAGCAATATTTTGAGAAGTCATCAATGAAGGTAATAAAGTATTTCTTTCCACCACGAGTAATAACACCATTACTATCACATATATCACTATGAATGAGTTCAAGCACACAAGTTTCCTTTTGGACAGAATTTTGAAAAGATTTTCTAGGTTGTTTGGCTTGAACACAAACTTCACATTTTTGTTTCAATTCATTAAAAGATTTAGGAATAAGATCAAGTGTCATCATTCTTTTAATAGAATTCAAGTTAACATGTCCAAGTCTACCATGCCAAATGTCACAACATTCAACATTTGAAATAGAAGATGAAGAAATGCTAGAATTTTTATTAATAAAGGAAGACATGATACTAAGTTTAAATAAACCATCACAAATATATCCTTTCCCAACAAAAGAACCATGTCGAGAAATTACAACTCTATTGGATTCAAAAACAACTTTAAAACCTTGTTGAACTAACAAAGCAGCACTAATCAAATTTTTTCTAATTTCAGAAACATGAAAAACTTCATCTAAAACAAGACAATTTCCAGAAGATAATTCTAATTCTACTCGGCCTAGACCAATGACGCGCGCTAGGCTCCCATTCCCCATGCTTACAGTACGTGTGCCACATTCCTGATATGAAGAAAATAATTTTTTATCAGCACACACATGAACATTAGCTCCAGAGTCAATCCACCAATCATTTGAGTTATAAATGAAATTTAACTCTGGGCTAGTGACATGATACCTGTTAGATGGGGAATCCGAGCTAGCATTAGCGGTAATGACATTAGCTTGAGGCTGAGACGAAGATTTGGGATCAGATGTAATGTCTTTTGGTTGACGACGACGATGAAAACAATCTTTAGCAAAATGATTGTTTCTTCCACAAACAAAGCAAAAGGACTCATTTCCTTGAATTTTACTCTTTGGTTTGTAGTTGTTATTAAAAGCTTTGTTTTTATTTTTAGAGAAATGAGAGCTTTGACCAAATTTATTATTATTGGAAAAACCAGATTTTTTGAAAATTTTTTGTTTAGGCTTATTAGCGTTTTCCACTAAATGAGCCTTAGCCTGAAAAGGGGTTTTATTAGAAACCTTTTGTGAAATACGATGTTTATCTTCAATTCGCAAGGTAACCAATAAATCAGATAAAGTGAAGTTATCGGGTTTATGTTTAAGGCTTCTTGCAAATTCAGACCAAGAAGGAGGCAATTTAGAAATTAACAAACTAACAAGCATTATGTCAGGCAAAGTAATTTCTTTCATTTTCATATCATAAATAATATTTTCAAATTCATGAACTTGGTCAGAAAAATGTTTTCCATCTTCCATATAAATCATTCTTTCACAAGAGTATTTTCTTAAACCCTTTTCAGCAGAACCATACTTTAGTTCAAGTGCGTCCCATAACTCTAAAGCAGTTTTTGTATGACAAAATATTTTATAGATATTATTAGACAGAGCACTCAAAATTCAACCATGACACAAAATATCTTTATCACTAGAAGAACCAGCTTCAACCAAGGCACGTTCAGAAGAATTTTCAGATTTTCCATTTAAAATAACAGAAAATAAATTCAACTCTGTAAGCCAAAGTTTCATCTGTTGTTGCCAACATAAAAAATTTTCACCAGTAAATTTTTCTGGCTTACTACTCAAAGAATTTAAAATATCCATTGCAGACATGTTGATATTGAACAAAAGAAAAGAAGTTTTCTCTCTAAGATTGTTAGAAAAAGTAAATTTAATAGAGCACAGTAAAATAAATATTTAGATTTATCAATAGAACCAATATCAACAACACAATGAATATTATAAAATTAAAACAGAGCAATCAATAACAACTAATTAAACACAAAGAGCAAATTAGAATGTTAAATAAAAGGTTTAGAGTAGCCTGGGTTGAAGCACGCAGAGCGCTATCCTTAGAGAGAAAACACCCCCACTGCACTGGTAATTTTGAGCCTTATAGTGCGCTCCTCTCCCAAGATACGTCAACCCGTTAGACCGTTCGAGTGCAGCGAAAGATCTCCGAACCAAAGAACACCGCTCCAAAATTATAATTTTGTAGTAGAGGAAATATTGAGGGAGAGAAAATATAAACTTACTGTAGGTGTATTTTCTTTCGTATTAATAAGTTTATATATGCACAATTAGATGCCTTTTCCAAAAGATGAATACGTGCATTTGCAACCTTTTCGGTACGTGGTAACAGTAAACAAAAAACGTGGATATGTACTAACCACTTTTAAAAGCAAAACAAGACGTGGTCAAGAAGGAAAAAAAAACGTACATATCCGTCTTTTGTTTTGGAACGTTAAAATAAAAAGGAATTAATTAGATTAAATATTTAATTGAATTTTAAATTATAAAATAATTTCTCAACATTTTCCTCCATCTATTCGTGCAATAACTAATATGTCATCCATGGTCAACTTTATTCAATCCTTATAATTATAACTATTATACGCAGAAAGTGCTCACTTATTTTGCATTTTAATAGGGACTAGAGCTAGTCAATGCAGTCTTTTTCCGATACTTTCAGGGAACATATCATGACATCAAAAGGAAGATCCATTCAATGATGCGATTGGTTGACCTATACAAACCTTACTTGAGCTTCAATGGCGTGTAAGTTAATTAATTTGCAACACTACAGTAAGATTTGAATATTAATTAATTTACTGAGATCGACAAGCTTCTTTTTCTTTTACACACAGATTTGATAATATGAACATAGAAAAGTTGCAAATAGCGGCAAGCCAAGGTGGGGTAGAGATGGATTTGTTTTACTTCGACCCAAAAATGATTGAGTGGGATGACTACTTTACGAATGTTCATATTCCTGGTGTCGTCAAGTGTGTCCTCAAGTGATATATAAATAACATCTATGTACTCCTAAATATGAATTTGTCATTTTAGCTTTTGTGTTAATTTCAAAACTTGAATCTCCATGGAGTGTAAAATTATGCTAGTCAAATTGGTGTGTTAGTGATTATGAACTTATGTGGTATATTTTATATATATTGTAAGAGTAAATGTATTTAAATTTTTATGGAACTCAAATTAATTAATACTTACATAATTAATATTTTATCGAGCTCTTTCTCGAACTTTCTGTGCCAGATCAGATTAAGCAAGAATAGCACTGTGATTTTCTAAATGGTTCATATACCAAACACATCTTTAAACTACTGAATATTGGTTGTTTCTTGAACTCAACAAGTGATAGAGTTATTTTATGATATTTATCTGAAAGGATATTTTATAAGAATTATTTATATAAATAACTCCACAATGATGAGATATTGTCCGCTTTGAGTATAAGTTCCCACGGTTTTACTTTTGGTTATCACCCAAAAAATCTTTTAATCATTGAAACATGTTTGTATTTTATAAATTGTTATTTCTTCTCTCTTATTTTATTAATGTGAGACTTGTTTATTTCCTAACAATAAGTACTTTACCTTTAAATATAGGGAGTATTCCAACAACCTTATAGCAAGAAAGTGTTTTGAAAGAGTGTACTTAGCATTCTTGCATATCCATACTCCACATGGACAGTTGCATTGTATCTTTGTACCTCTCACCTAAATTGAGATTTGAGAGACATGAAGTCCATAACCAACACACGAAACAAATTTTATATATAAACGAACTTTGAGAGGAGATATTTATGAAAATATTTTTACCTGACATGACATTTTCCTTGTTCTTACATATCTCTAAGTACAATGTACAATCAAACTAGATTACATAATTCTTTAGGTAGAAAATAGTTTTGGTAGTTGATCACAAGTTTTTAGGTTAAAAAATATCGATAATTAGGATATTAAATCTTAGCCATATGTTAAAGTTAAAGCTAAAATATTTTACTGAATATTTGTCACAATGATAGGCGACCTAAAAAAAAGAGATATACTCCCCTATAAACATATTCTAGACTAGATTTAATTTTGTGGTATTCAAGGAGATTCTAAACTTAACAAAAAAAAATATTAATTACTAAATCTATATCGCATTTGCTATTATTGATAAATTTTAATTTAGTTATCCAATTAATATTTTACAATTAATTTTGGATTAATATGGGATGGATTTTTTTTTAGTTTGAAACGGTTAATACTGTGAATTATTTTTTTTATTAATTTGAATAGAAAGAAAAACAATAACAGATATCTATTGAGTGAAAGTATTTTAATTTTTGAAATTAAATTTATTACCGAAAAATGTGAGAGAAAAAGAAACACTATTTTTGTTTGGCATTAACATGCTTTTCTTTTAAGGAAATTAATTTTATTAATTTCCATATTTTAAATGTAATTTCCTAAGTTTTCTAAAATTATTAAAAAGAAGTTTTAATCAATCAAATAAGTTTTATAAATATATTAAAGATTTTTTAAATGATTATGAGTGTTTATATAAATTAAAGTTTTTAAATTATTTATTCTATTAATTATTAGAGATAAAT